GGGCAATACCTATCATCTCCTGACTCTCCTTTGTTGACAGCTGTTGTGACTACATGAAACAGAGAAGTTTTTGTTCTTTGTAGCTGGTGTAAAGTTATTTATTTTGAAGACATTCTGAAATGCACTCAGTCATTGGTTTTATTATCAAAATGTTAACAAAAACCTGAGGCACAAAAATGCATCTATTTATAAAAGGGCCAGAGTGAGATGGGAACAGATTATTTAAAGAATTGTTATTAACATAATCCTCAGCACTTAAAATTTTGTGCTGAGGGAAAGGGTACAAATGTACAGCTAAGGATTTGTTCACACAAATATGTGCTGATAGATAGATAGATAGATAGATAGATTTCTGCCCCATCCCCCTAGGAAATGTTTGAGTAATGTTCACATCCTCTACAAAAAATACCACAATTGAAGATTAAAAAACCCAATTTCTAATTTTTGGACCACAAATTGAAACACATCCAATACTGCGGGTGAACAATTTGAATTTTTAAAAAATAAGTTTTTTACTTAGTGCATAAAATGCAAATCTAAATTGAGCAATTAGATTCTAATTAATCTGGGGGAAAATTAATTATGGGGCTAAGCAGATGGCGCAAAGCGCCATCTTCAGAGCAAGGAAGGGGAGGGGCAGCCACATGCTGGGCGCCCCAACCCCTTCCCCAAAACGTCCTCGGAGCAGCCGGCCCTCCGCATGGCTGGCACTCCGAAGATGACCTCCCGCTGCAGCGTCTGTACACGCTGCAGCAGAAGAGTCGCTGAAGGTGCGCCGGCAGCCTTTTGCGGCACACCTTCAGCGACTTGTGGAAGGAGCACTATTTTAGGGGATACCTAAAATTTTGGGGATACCTCAGCCCCGATCCACAGCTTCCCGGGGCAGCCCATGGCTGCCCGTCTGCTTCCCCCCTATGACTTGTGACTTGTCACTCAAGGACACAAGCCAGTCAGTCTTTTGTCGCATCCCCTGAAATTTAATCTTGCACTCTCTGGAGATGCAGACACCCCAAGTTAGAAACTGCTGATGTAGAAAATAGATCAGTTCAAATAGATCAAATAGACTTTTTCAGATAGATCAAACAGATTTTTTCAGTGCCCCAAATTTAAGGAAAACATTTGCAGCTTAGCTAATGGCACGAACACATCTCTGATTGAGAACCAGGCTAATTCAAGAGAATATCTGCATCACCAACCTAAACTGATCTGACCTACACAAATGAGACCCTAGAAATAATAAAACACTGGTAAATGTAAGAGAACTGTATTACATATGTGTGGTTGCCATAAATTGGAAATGACTTGAAGGCATCCAACAACAAGAAATGGGAAGGAATTACAGGTACATTGAGTCAATCAAGGAAGCCATAGCCTTGAGTTTGCAAGACCTAAGTAGAGCTATTAAGAACAGCTCCTTTGAGGGTCTCTTACTCACAAGGTCTCAATAAATCAAAGCTGCCTTGACAGCACATAACAATAATGTGTAGTCTCTCTTTAGCTTTCAACATTTTTTACTTCTTTCTCTGCCTTGCCAGCAAATGCCGACTTGGTTCAGGGCCCATGGGTTGGCTTAAGCTACTCCAAGTTGCAGTGACCTAGAATCCGTCTGGCCAGAGAAATCTGGAGCTTTGAGAAGTAGCCTGGAACAAAGAACTTGTGGAACTACTATTATAATGTTTTTAGCCGAGTTCTGATGCTAGGACTATCTTCTGTCTAACCCTATAGTAGGGATGGCGTAGGTTAGAGCCATGGCAATGGGAGTGAATCAAAGTGTTACAATAGTGTGGTGTGGATGCACCAAGTGTGACGTACTTACCATACAAAATGATAATGATAATAGGAACAATAATCTGGGGAATCAGCAATAGCAAGCTACACCTTTTTCTGTCGTCACTGGGCTACTAGACAGTGAAAGGCCTGAAGCAATTGCAACAGTTGATTCATAGATAATTTACTTCTCTCTCTCTCTCTCTCTCTCTGTGTATACATGTGTATTGGGCCATGGCAATGTTGGAATGGGGAGTCTAAATTTATTTCCTTTTCCCCACTCCCTACTACTTCCAGTTATGTCCTTTCAAATGGTTATTACTTGTACAAATAGTTGTTAATTGCTGTTTTAATTCTTTTTAATTTTTTTTGGTAAATTAATGTTTTAGCTTGATCTTTTAAAGCGAGTGCAGTGTAGTGGTTTGAGTGTTGGACTAGGACACTGGGAGACCAGGGTTTGAATCCCTGGTTGACCATAGAAATCTACTGGGCAATCTAGGACAAGTCACGCTTGCTCACCCTCAGAGGAAGGCAAGGACAACACACACACCCCAACAAATTCTGACAAGAAAATAATGTAATTGGTTTGCTTTATGGCCGCCATGAGCCAGAAATAACTTGAAAGCACATAACAACAACAAGATGCCTAGATTCCCATTTTAGGAGAAAGGTGGGATATATATTCAATAAATAAGGCAAAGCTATCACAGGATTTTCTTGCCAAGATTTTTTCAGAAGGGGGTTGCCTTTGCCTTCCTCTGAAGCTGACAGTGTGTGACTTGCCCATGGGTTTCCATGGCTGATCAGGGATTTGAACTCTTGTCTCTAGAGTTGTAGTTCAATGCTTAAAATGCTGACTCTCAGCATCCATGTTACCTTAAGACAATATGTGGCCAGAGACATGAGGCCCTTTCAGACAACAGTTATAACACTTGGATTCCATTTTAACTGCCATGATTTTATGCTATGTAATTCTGGGACATGTAGTTCTTTGGTTAAGAAATCTATTACACATTAAAAACAAACCCATCAGGCAAATTGAGAGAAGCAGATTTAGCTTTCTGTCTCCACATGACTTCGAAGCACTTTTGTGCTCTTCTAGTTGTAAAAGCTTGGGAGAGAGTGGTAAAAACATTTATTTTGCCAAACAGATTTTTCCAGTTTGGCAAAAGGGACGCTTTTATTACTTTCTCCCATGCTTTCACGACTGGAAGAGAGTGAAAATACTTTGATGTCATGCGGAAGAGAAAGATAAATGTGCTTCTCTCCATTTTCCTCCTGGGTTTGTTTTTCATGCAAAGGCTCTAAATACCCCTTCCTGAATGACAAATCCCAGGACTCCTTAAGATGGAGCCAAGTCATTTAATGTGGAATCATGGTGCTGTAACAGTATAGTGTAAAGCAACTTTTGGCTTGACAGAAACTGTTGACTTGGTAGCTTGGTGATGTGTTTCTATGTGAATAAACTGTTAGAGCATTCTCTTCAATCTTTTGAATCCCTAGTATATACCTGGAAAGGGAATGCATCTCTCCCCATCCTCCATTCTTTCCCCTGGAGAAAGGGTGCTACATGCTTCTATGTGAAAAGATCAAGAGGGACTATAGGGCCTTTACAGACTGCCAGAAATAATGCAGCTTGAGTCCACTTTAACTGCCCTGGCTCAGTGCCAGGGAATCATGGGAACTGTAGTTTTTTCTGAGACATTGAGACTTCTCTGTCAGAGAGCTCTGGTGCCACAATAAACTACAGTTCCCATGATTCCCTAGCACTGAGTCAGGACAGTTAAAGTGGACTCAAGCTGCATAATTTCTGGCAGTCTGCAAAGGCCCTATAGTTAGTTAGAAAAGTCAATTTCTGTGCCTTGAAGAATAGGAAAGGCACAGGCATACAGGCAAAGCAGTTTGGGCTTTGTGAACTAGAGGTATTTGGGGATGCTGGCTGTCTCTCTGTAGAAATTTGATGTGGGAACAGTTAATGCTAGCTGGCTATTGGAGAGATCTGTAAGGTTTCCAGTTTGTCCATTAATTGCACCACTGCAGCTACTTGACGCACCCTGGCAGGGCCAGTATTGTGGTGCTCCGTTCACATGAAGAGCATCTGTCATGAAGCAAAGTGATACAGCTGCCACAGGTGCCAAGATGGTGGCATGGATGGACGGCAATTGATGGCACAAAGTTAGCAGACAGAGCGGTGTGTGTGTGTTATATGGCCTGCTGTGGATCCCCAAACTAGTCTGTTGTTGACGCTTGTGGTGGAGGACATTACACTGTCACCGGTGTCGAAGAATCAACTGCCAATCTGGCCAGCTTCTGTGCCTCAGACAGCAAAATATGTTGGGCAAGCCCTGGTCATGGCAATGCTTTGTCCTCTTTCCATGACCCTCTTTTGCAGCCAGTTGGTTTTACAGCCAGAAATGTTGTTTGTCTTGCAACATTTGGGAACTCCAGGGAGGGAGCAGAAGCAATATATGGCTTGGATAAGCGATGTTACAATAGAAGAAAATGGTGCTGCGAAGAACACACTGCACAAACTAATCTGCTTCTTTTCCAAGGTTAACTGGAGATTAAGAACATAAAAACAGCCTTGCTGGATTAGACTCTTATCTAATCCAGCATTCAACAGCGGCCAGCTAAAGTTTACAAGCATCCATTGGTTCCAAAGAGATTTGGCTTTGCTGCCTAAAGAAGTTACAGTAACTAGAAGACTATCATCCCCTCTTTCTCCTATTCCTCATCTGCCTCAATATTAACATTGGTACCACAACCTTTCCTTCCATCTGAAGCAAAGTGAGCAGTGCACCTGGGAAAGAGGTTTTCAGCAGTGGCACCCCATCATTAAACCCACTGGGTGACCTTGGGCAAGTCACACTCTCTCAGCCTTGGGGGAAGCCAATGGCAAACCAGCTCTGAGCAAATCCTGCCAAGAAAACCCTGTGATAGGTTTGCCTTAGGGTCTCCATAAGTTGGAAACAACTTGAAGGCACACAACAACAACCCCATCACTGCAATTCCATTTCTAGAGAGTTTTGTCTGGCATCTTTATGTTGTTGGTTTTTTCCCCATGACTGGCAAAAACATCTTTGTACATTCAATCCCTTTAGGGTGTAGTAGGTTCAGAGCGTTATGTTGAAATATGTTAACTTTTATTTATTTTATTATCCACACATAATTCTTGCATGTGGCTCTGAGAGCTTTGGCTGGAAAATAGCTAAAAAGTATACTATAAAACAGGAGCCAGTGTGGCCTAGTGGTTTGTGCACTGGGCTATCACTCTGGAGGCCAGGGCTTGAATCCCCCACTCAGGTATGGAAACCCACTGGGTGACATTGGGCAAGTCACACTCTCTCAGCCTCAGAAAATCCTGTGATAGAGTCACCATAAGTCAGAAATGATCTGAAGGCACACCGCAATGCTGTAAAGTGCTTGCGTATGCGCAAAATGCACCTGAAAGGCCTTTATAAACCGCCCATTCCAGCTTTTTACGCATTCTCTTGTAAGGATGAGGGTGGAAGAAAAACAACCATCTGACAGGTACATAAATCATGATAAATGCAAAGTAATCACATACTGGAGACAGCCAACCCGGTGTAGTGCTTTGAGCAAAGGACTACAATTTTGGAGTTCAGGGTTCAATTCCCTGCTGGGCCCTGGAAACCCACTGGGGGATCTTGGATGAGTCACACACTCTCAGCCTCAGAAAGATAAGGTCACCTTGTTGTGGGCCTTCAAGTCATTTCCAACTTATGGTGCCCCTAAAGTGAACCTTTTCTGAGGCTAAGAGTGTGTGACTTGGCCATAAAGTGGGTTTCCATGACTGAACCTATGATGGGGTTTTCTTGGCAAGAGTTGTTCAGAGGAGATTCCCCACTGCCTCCCTCTGAGGCTGAGAAAGTGTGACTTGCCCAGGGTCACCCAGTGGGTTTCATGGCCTAATCTATGATGGGGTTTTCTTGGCAAGATTAGTTCAGAGGAGATTCCCCACTGCCTTCCCCTGAGGCTGAGAGAGTGTGACTTGCTCAGTGAGTTTCATGGATGAACGAACCTATGATGAGGTTTTCTTGACAAGAGTTGTTCAGAGAAGGTCCGCCCTTGCCTTCCCCTGAGGCTGAGAGAGTGTGACTTGGGCCTAGGGTCGCCCAGTGGGTTCCCATGGCCGTGTCAGAAATCGAACCCTGGCCTCTAGAAAGCCGAAAAGCCCAACACTCAAACGAACCGATGCACCCTTTTTTGACAACAAATGTGGCGGGCCTCCAAGTCATTTGTGACCAATGGCGAAGCTATATAAGCCGGAAAGGAAGGCTCACAACAACAACAACAACAACAACAACAACAGGAGGAGGGGGGGAATTTTAATAAGGGAACTAAGCCTAAGGGAACTAAGCCGAGCCCTATCCCTCCTTCTTCCTTCCTTCCTTCCTCCTTCTTTCCCCAAGGGCTCCCTGCCAAGGAGCCCTGTCCTTCCCGGCCGACGCCACTCCTTCAATCAAATCCCTCAGCAGCAGCCGCAGAAGCAGCAATAGCGCCGCCGCCGCCCCTTTCCTCGCTTCTATTCAAGGCCGCGGCGCCTTCTCCCCGCCCAAACGCCGCCGCCTCCGCCGGGCCCTGAGGCTGCTGGGCAGCGACTGGAGAAGCCGCTTGACAACCGCAGTCAGGGCCCTGCCGCCTCCTTCTCTTCGGCCTGGCCGTGACAGGACCCCTTTTTTAGCCGGAGCCATCCTCCCCCCTCCCTCCATCGCTGCCGTCTGGGAGTGAGGCGCTTGCCGCCATTTTGTGCGCCCCCCGCTGCAGCGCCAACGCCAACGCCAACCTCCCCTCAGGGGCCCCTTTGCTTATTGGGAGGCACCCTCCTGGGAGAGGTGAGTCTCTTGTATTTTATCCTATGTTCTCTCTTCAGCGGGGGAAAAACAACAGCCACAGCCGTTAATGACAAGGAGACAACAGACAAGGAGCATAAAAGGACCCATATTGGCATTATTAGTTGGTGGCAGGAGGGTCAGACTCGGGGCTTTTGAAATGCCCAGGGCCTGAGAGGTGCCCACTTGGGCCAACCTTGGAAGGAGTTGGCAAGGCTCCCTAGGCAGAAGGTGGCACTGAGGGGCTGGATTGGCAGAAAACCTGCTTCTTCCTTTCCTAAAAACAGATCCTCGTTGGCTATAATATAGCAAAAGCACAGCATCACCCCAAATCCACAAATGAGTGGTCCCTTTGTTGGGTATTCTCTTTCTTCCCTGTTGCTCAGGGCCACCTTGTCTCCCTTTCTGCCTCCTCCTTTGCCTTGCAGATAGAGACAAGATTGTAGCTGTGTGTTGCCTAACTTGTCTGCTACTGATGGGGCTGCATTTCTTTAACCTACTTTTTCATGGGGATGTACTAAAAGAAATAACAGTACTTGCCCATAGGGAAACATTGGGGAATAACATGCCCATAGAGAAATATGTGTTTCCCTGTGGACAAGTGTTCTCCTATATTTCCCTACAGGCAAGTATTCCCCAGTGTTTCTCTATAGGCAAGTATGGTTTCTCTGTGGGCAAGTATGCTCCAGTGTTTTCCTATGGGCAAGTATAGTCTCTCTATGGGAAAGTATTCCCCAATGTTTCCCTATGGGCAAGTATGGTTTCTCCATGGGCATGTATAGTTTCTTTATGGGCAAGTATTACTCAGTGTTTCCCTATGGCCAAGTATGGTTTCCCTGTGGGCAAGTATGGTTTCTTTGTGGGCAAGTATTCCCCAGTGTTTCCCTGTAGGCAAGTATGGTCTCCCTATGGGCAAGTATGGTTTCTCCATGGGCAAGTACTATCATTTGTTTTAGTATCTCCCCTTCTCATGGCTCTGCTTTCCATTCCCTTTGTTGCAGTTGCATTGACACAGAGGACAAGCCTCCCTTGGATTTTTAAGTGCCTGCTACTGTAAGCAACCTATAAGTAGCTTGGGCACAGAACAAGAGCTACTGTGCTGTGCTTGCATGTTTGACAGAGAGCTTTGCCTGAAAGAAAGGTCTGCAATGTCACTGGGTGGGGAAATAGGTGTGATGCTTCCTTTATTCTGACCTTTACCTCCTGGCAAGTGTTTTTATTTTTGTTTGTTTCCAGCCCCCCAAGTCCTTTTTCTGCAAGCAATTTAATGCAAAGAATAGGCTTACTCAGAAAGATCAAAATTATTCTGTTTTAGCTGAAAGACTTAATAGAGAATCAGCTGTACATTTCCTTAACAGAGTCACAGTCCTTTGTTCACATGACTGAGCTGCGGTGAAAGAAGGGTAGATTGAAGGGGATATGTGTGGGTTTTGCATGCATATATTTACGAACCACTTTCTGACTGAATAAATAAAGAATAACACCTTATGGATACAATCAAAATAAAAGAATGTGGACATGAGAACATATCTGACAGTAGGCCATTGCAGATGTTGCAGTGACAATACAATTGCATGAGACAATAATGGAATACTCTGTTCTTTGTTCACTCCAGGCTGTTGAAAGCCTCAGGCTGTTGTAAGTCATAGCTAAGTAGATCCACTGAAACAATGGAGATTTGATAAGTTAACATAGAATCATAGACTTGGAAGAGACCACAAGGGTCATCTAGTCCAACCCCTTGCTATGCAAGAACTCAAAATCAAAGCATCCCTGACAGATGGCCATTCAGCCTCTGCTTAAAGACCTCCAAAGAAGAAGACTCCACCATACTTTAAGGGAGTGTAATCCACTGTCGAACAGCTCCCACTGTCAGGACGTTCCTCCTAATGGTGAGGTAGAATCTTTCCCTGTAGCTTTCATATATAGTTATGGGTCCTGTTCTCTGGAGCAGCAGAAAAAAGCTAGCTCCCTCCTCAATATGACATCCCTTCAAATATTTAAACAGGGCTATCATATTATCTCTTAACTGTCTCTTCTCCAGGCTAAACATACCCAGTTCCCTGAGTCGCTCCTCATAGGGCATGGTTTCCAGACCCTTCACCATTTTAGTCACCCTCCTCTGGACACACTCCAGTTTTTCAACATCTTTTTTGAATTGTGCCCAGAACTGGACACTGTATTCCAGGTGGAGCCTGATCAAAGCAGAATACAGTGGCACTATTACTTCCCTTGATCTAGACCAGGGGTAGGCAACCTTTTTGAGCCGGGGGCCGGGTTGCTGTCCCTCAGACAATTGGGGGGCCGAGGCACCAAAAACAAATAAATGAATAAATAAATAAATAAATAAATAAATAATATTTTTTAAAAACTATGCATGCACACTCTCTCAGCCCCAGAAAAGCCATGGCAAAACCCCTGTGGAGATTTTGCCAAAAAAACCCCAAGAACAAGTAATATCAACAATAATCAATATCACCATGGCGGGCGGCAGCGGCGGCGGCGGGTGGCAGCGGCAGCGGCAGGACCGGCCTGGGGCCGGTCCAAAGGCCTCAGGGGGCCACATCCGCCCCCAGGCCTTAGGTTGCCTACCCCGATCTAGACACTATACTTCTATTGATGCAGCCTAAAATCACATTGGCTATTTTAGCTACCACATAACATTGTTGACTCATTTTCAACTTGTGGTGTACTAGGACTCCTAGATCCCTTTCAAACGTAGTATCCCCCAACTTATATCTGTGCATTTAATTTTTTTGCCCTAAGTGCAGTACCTTACATTTCTCTGTCTTGAAATTCATTCTTGGTGTTGAAATTCATTTTGTTAGCTTTGGCCCAGCTTTCTAATCTATTAAGGTCATTTTGAATTTTCATCCTGTACTCCGGGGTATTAGCTATTCCTCCTAATTTGGTGTCATGTACAAATTTGATAAGCATGCCCCCTATTTTTTCATATGTAAGTTATTTTCATTCTGTAGGTCTGCCTTGCTTGGGACTAGCTGTTGGATGTAAGCCTTGGTGTGAAGGATGCTGGGAACATCCATGGTTTTCTGGAGGAATGTGTTAATGGTTTATTCTTGAATGGCAGTACAGTGGGCCCTTCTTATCTGTTGGGGTTTGGTTTCAGGACCCCCTGTGGATTCCAAAATCTGTGGATGCTCATGTCCCAATATATACAATGGCATAGTTCCATTGTATATATAGTGCCATTCTTATAAAATGGCAAAATCAAGGTTTACTTTTTGGAATGTATATCTTTTTTGGAATATTTTCAGGCTATGGATGGTTGAATCCATAGATAAAGAATCCATGGACATGGAGAGTGACAGCATATTACAGATACTAAATGTACAAAAAATCTTGTGCATGGAGTTTGTTTTAATTTTTAGATGATAAGTTTTTGATTACACCCTTTCTCATGCATCTCAGGCCTCACTTCTGAGCATCATATTTTAAGGAGGAAAAAGACAAGTTGAAGCAGGTTCAGAGAAAGGTGACAAAGATGATAAGAGGTTTGGAGAGAAAAAATATGATCTTGAGGGAGTTTAGTTGGGCATGTTCAGTCTGGTGAAGAGAAGACTAAAGGGTGGCATTATTGTGCTCTTGAAATATCGAAAGGGCTGTCACAGAGAGGAAGATAAAGGTTTACTGTCCCAGAGGGTAGGATCAGGTCTAATGATTTTAAGTTACAGGAGGGTAGATCTCAAAAGAACTTTAGAAGGAACTACTTCACATTCAGAGTGATTGAGCAATGGAACCAATTACCTAGAGAGTTGTGTGTGGGGGTGTCTCCTTCTCTAGAAATCTTCAGAAAGAAGCTAGACATCTAACTTCTGGGAATGCTCTAGCTGGAGTTTGTGCATAGTTTAGGGAAGCCCTTTTAGCACTATGTTTCAGTGAGTTACTTGAAAGGAGAAAGAAACAAAGACCTGAGTGTGCTAGTGAAGGGCTTTTATCCTTGCTGTTGTATTATGAAGAGAAAAAGTAATTCTACCTCAGTGCAGGGTTTACGTGAAAGGTGCCAGGCCAGACCTGTCCAGGAATTATGAACTTTCCTCCTATGTATGAATATGATGTTTGGGTCCTACATACAGTATCCCACACTGAAGGAGGATAAAACTTTTATAACCAAGACAGCAAGATTATTTAAGAGATATTGAATGCCTTAATTTCTGTACCCCTTTTTCCTGTCTGTAGTCCTGCTGCATTTTTCTAAATGGCTAAGTTGGATCCATCCAAACAGTGTTGCACCTGAATGAGGTTGTATAAACAGTCTTGATTTAGAACTAGCATAAAGAGTATGATCATTTATACTCTCCTGTTATCTCAAAAAGGGAGATTTGAGTCCTTAAGGGTTTGAATGCAGCTTCCTGTTGTTCAGTCCAGTTGAGTAGAGCCATAAAGCCGGAGGCGGTTAGCAGTACATGAGAAGGAAATAATTATAATTACTAAGCTAGAAGAGAAGAAGGAAGATGGGTCGCAGAGTCTACTTATTCTATTCTGATGTGGCTTTAGAAAAAAAAATCTGGGCATAAACAAAACACTTTTACTTTCCTTAAATATCTCCCACACAATTAATGTGATGTAAAGGTACTTAAATTTGACTGGAATTGCCTTAGTGTTTGATAGTAAAAATAAAGGTAATGGGCACAGTCTTATTTGTTTGTTTATTTATTTGTTCAATATGCTGCCTCTTTCCCAACATGGGACCAAAGATGGCTTAAAAGGGCTAAAAATAAGATTAGCTAAAATAAACAAACCAATAGTTCAAACAGTTAAACAAACATCACATTAAAACACCATTAAACTTTCAAAAGTATAAAATTATTTTTTTGAAAAAGTTAAAAATACATCAACCTCCCCTCCCCGCCCCCCACACTAAAAAGCTTCCTACCACTAATTAATCCTTAAAAGCCTGTTTAAATAAAAGGGTTTCAGCTGCTGGTAAAAGGAGAGCAGAGAGATGGCCAGCCTCGCCTCCTGTGGGAGGGAATCCCTCTCTCTCTCAGTAGACAGGGCTGTGATGGTGGCAGGGCCATGACAAAGCCTTCCCCGAGGATCTTAAGACTTCAGGAGGTTTGTGTATGGAAACACAATCTTTTAGGGGGGCTGCAGACTGCCAGAAATAGTGCAAATTGAGTCCACTTTTAGCGTTAGGGTTAGTGCTAGGAAATCATGGGAATTGTTTTTTTCATGGGACATTGAGCCTTCTCTGTCACATACCTAACCCTAACCCTAAAAGTGGACTCAATTTGCACTATTTCTGGCAGTCTGCAACCCCCCTTAGTTAGCCTGAACCTTAGCTGTATAAGGCATTATAGTTCATAACCAGTACTTGGAACTGTGCCTGGAAAAGAACTGGTAGCCAGTGAAGCTGTTTCAACAAGGGAGTTATATGCTCCCTATAGTTGACCTCAGTCAGTCTTCCAGCCATAGCATTTTGGACCTGTTGAAGTTTCTGAACATTTTCCAAAAGCATTCCCACTTAGAATGTGTTATACTTATCCAAATGGGATGTACTAAGGCATGTGGCACCATGGCCAGATCTAACTTCTCAGGGAACAGACACAGCAGGCACATTAGTCTTAACTACCGCAAATTATGCAATCCTGGCCATCATTGAAACTTGGGCATCAAGGCTCTGGGTAAAAAACAGCAAAGCAATGGGTCGTGCCTTTCAGTTCATACTTACATGTGGAATTACTATTCTAACTCATGAATAAGATATACTTTGTTGTTGTTGTGTGCCTTCAAGTTGTTTCCGACTTATGGTGACCTCAAGGCAAACCTGTCATGGGGTTTTTTGGCAAGATTTTTCAGAGGTAGTTTGCCTTTGCCATTCCCTGAGGCTGAGACAGTGTGAATTGTGAAGTCAAAGGCTTTCACAGCCAAAAAACCAACATAAAACTACAGTGTGAATTGCCCAAGGTCACCCACTGAGTTTATGTGGCTAAGTTGGAATTCGAACCCTAGTCTCCAGTGTCATAGTCCAGCATTCAAACCACTACACCACGAAATCAGGAAATAAAGGATATGATTTATTGTAGTAAGGATAAAAATTTAGAAGATTTAAAAAAAATAAACAACAATTTATTGTATATTGAACATCACATACACACCTCTCTTAATAATAGTGATTAAATTTACATAATATAAATGTATCTATCTGTTTTCTGTCCTTTTAAAAATTATATGCATTGATAGACATTTTGCTACTCCTGATACAAACGACGTGTTCTTTGTTCTTTGATAAATTGGCTGTTGGGGTAACTGGAAAATGGCTGGTAGCTAGAGACCTAGCCTCTAGTAATAAACCTGAAGTATAGGTGCATATTATTAGTTGCCATAACATTCTCTCCCCAAAGGGGATCCAGAAATGCAGGTGCTCTTTGTGTGTATGTTTCTACAAATAAATACTCCCTGTAAGGAACAGCGGTACACAATATAATACAGTTTGTTAGAATCAAATGACAGAAAGCTTGCACACCTTTTGTGGCCTGCAGGTTGGCCTAATAAAGATATTGTTGCAATATGGATTCTGGAGTCCTAGAATGATGCATCAATAAGGACGATGTAGTGGTCTGTCTATTGGACCTTAGTTGCAGACACTCGAGGATCCATGAGAAAGGATAAGAAGGAGACACAACCCATCGCCAATATCAGTAGATCACAACATTATCATTTTCCAGGAGTTTCTTTTCACAACACTGACAAGAAAAACCTGCTCCCTAAAGTCAACAAACCAGATTTATGTATCTCTCCAACAGGAGCACATTTTTGGTGTAAAACTAATGAGTCTTAATTAAAAGCTAAGTCTATTCAAAACCAAACAATCCCCAAATATATTGTGTTACAATAAGGGTAGAAGAAGCCCGGCTACTGTAAGTTCAGAGTGAACAGGGCACCCAGAGGGAGATGGAAGATGGTGTCATTGCTTCTGCCAGTCAAAAAGTCTTGGCATTTTGTCCCCAATATACCACTGGCTAGCTGCTTTTATTTTTATTGTAGAAATTATGCACTCAGGATAAGGCTTAATGAAAGAAAGCATACTGTATCTATTGAATATTCAAGTTTTTGAGATGAATCAAAGACAGTTTAACAGCATGATTGTGTACAAATATGTCATATATTTATGAATGTATTGCATATCTTAATTAACAAAGCCTCTAACAATGAACTCTCTCCTTACAAAGTCTCTTTATACCTGCCCAGCGTCCCTTTTCTTCCTCATCCTCTGTCTAGCTGGAACTTTTTTTAGGAGCTTTGGTATTAGGTGGATTTTAAAGGAGAGTGGGAGAAATACAAATTCTCTTTGGTGTTGGGTTCAGGAAACTGTGCACTAATATTTGAGCTGGGAAAGGGTATGATTCTACCCTAGCTGATCTTACTGTAACTGTGGGCCTTTGCAGACTGCCAGAAATAGTGCACATTAAATTGAGGCACTGCCCTGGCTCAGTGCTAGGGAATCATGGGAATTGTATTTTTTTCTGAGACATTGAGCCTTCTCTGTCAGAGAGCTCTGGTACCACAATAAATTACAGTTCCCATGATTCCCTAGCACTGAGCCAGGGCAGTGCCTCAATTTAATGTGCACTATTTCTGGCAGTCTGCAAAGGCCCTTTGTGTGCTTGACTACAACAAGTAAGGTAAACAGCAGCTATCTCCAAACTCCTTTCATGAGCATATATGAACAGCAAAATGGAGGGAAAAGGAGAGAGCAAATAAGCCTGCCTCACAGACTGTTGCCAGCAGATTAAAGAAGTCTAGATCTGTATTGACCATCCAAATGAATATCATAAAAAAAGGAGCCTTCAGTTGATCTCTAGAAGATTCAGTTGATTATTTATATAAGTCTTACATGATCTGGTTGTTTCATTTTGCATGTGCATATTCTCAGTTTTGAATAAAATATTTACTGAGACTGGTCCTTTTTTTGTGTGATGCTGGAACCTAGGCTTATTCTTTTTGTGTTATTTTTGCTTCTGGTACCAAATTATCCATTAAAGAAGTAATGCCCAGGAACATATCTACTTTGTTAATATAAGTATACCTGTAAAAATCTTTTTGTTTTTAACATATATTGGACATGTATTTACGGTTTCTCTAAATTTTTATGTAATTTTATAACAAATAACTGTAAAATAACACTTAATTTTATAGTTCCATGCCTAGAAGGTCTATCATAGAGTTGTGAAGGCCCAGAAACCTGGGGTGGGGGGGCTTAGGAAAAGAATGCCCCACCCCTGTTTCCAAAACATTTCCCCAGAAAAATGAACTGTCAAATGTTCTCTTTTACAATGCTGAATAAATGTTTTGACTAGATTTTCACATATTTACTGTATCCCAAAACATGACTAAAAACTATATAAGAGGAAGACTTTTATGTAAGACAATGTATCAGATCAGATCATTACAATTTCTGGTTTTGGTTTCCGTTTTTACTTTCTTTTTATGTTATATCTGCTTGATATTGTGGAGAACTAGAGGAGATAAAATAATTTTCTTTGTTTACCAGCTTTGTTGGTTTTGTCTGTTTTTCCCGTGTATGCGATTATGTTGTTAGTCTGCTTTAGATTCGTGCCAAAACTCTATAGAACAAGTTAATCCAGATCAAGTCACATTGCTTCCAGTGTTAACTATTGCCAAGTTGACTTCAACTTAATGCAACTGTCTGAAGGAGAAATCTCCAAGTCCATATAGTATATACCAGATATATTCACATAGTATTCATGATGAGAATGAATGTGTTGTTGTTGTTAATTGTCATTAGCAATTTATGGTGGCCCTGTCACTGGGAGACCTCCTAGAGACTCAGGCCTTGTCTTCATGGACCGGGACACTCCAGAGGGCAGCTTGGAGTTTCCTGGCCCCACAGTTGCCCTGGCTTTTCATTCCTGCATCACTGCAGCTGTCTATACAGGTATCCCATTGAGCCACCCAGCGCATCTGCTGTTGTGGCACTTGCTTCTGAGGTCAGAATGAGGCATCCAGCAACAATCTTAAGGCTGTTCTGACCTCAGAATGGGTGACCTGCCATGGTGTTGGATGTAACTCATTGGCACACCTGTGCAGACACTGCAGTGTGGGAACAGAGAGTGCTGGATCTTCGAAGAAGATCTGGAGTAACAGGTAACTTTTTAAAATATGATTTAAGGCTGTTGGATGTATTGGATGTTGTCTGGACTGCTTGCACAAGAACCAGGCTTTCTTCATTGAGTCTATCTACCTGTAATGCGGTCTTACTCTTTTCCTACTGCCTTTCATTTTACTAAGTATTATCATACTTTCTAATATCATTTCATGATATGCCCACATGGTGATACTTCCAGTTTGGTCATTGTGACCTGTTGTGAGAGTTCAGGCTTGATGTCCTTTCAAACCCATTTATTTATCTTTTTGTCAACTCATGGTTTCCACAGAACATTCCTCCAATGTGGTCTCTTCTTGTCAGATTTCTCTGTACATAGAAATTGGAAATACTATGGCATGGATAATTCTAGCTATGATCTTTCTTTCTTTCTTTCTTTCTTTCTTTCTTTCTTTCTTTCTTTCTTTCCACTGTGATTTTTCTTTACACTGTGAGACCCTTATACAATGAGAACCTTTGTAACTGTCCTTCCAAATCCTAGTCTTCTGATTTCTTGACTACATTCTCCATTCTTTACTTGTAATTTAAACTCATATTTAAATGTATTCCTTTAAGAAAAATATTGCAGCTTGTGAATAACTGCAGTAAAGCTGCAGCTCTACTCATTTATCTAGCAGTAAGTCCCATTGAATTAAATCAGATTTGCTTTTGAATAGACATGTATAGGATTTAATTGCAAATATGAATTCTACCTTGTAGTGTCTCATATAGTATTGGGAAGTCTTACTTTATGGTATCAGAATGCCTTAATCAACAGTGTCTGTAATGGCAAGTTTACTTGACAGATACAGGGAATGGAGTGGCAATCATGTGGACACCTAGATACTGTTAGGCCACAACTGGCAGCTTACTTCATGGTTGTTTATGCAGGCTACAGTTGCTGGGACTTGCAATCCATTAGCAGCTGGAGAGGCTTTGCTATAGTCACATGATTCCTGTTTCTCCATTAGAAGCATAATGTTCATTATTTCCATCTGTGTTAATTAGTTAGACAGATATGACAGCATAACCAGTTCTCTGGGGTAAACATATACCATTAGTAACACTGGTGGAAAATCCATTAGAATATCACTCTTATCTTAAATTATGAAGGCTATGTCCATTTTAGCAAATAACTAAATTAAAATCAGTGGAACATCTAAAAATGTAAAATTGTATATTAAAAAGAAACGAATACTAAATCTGTCATTCTGAAGTATTAGTTTTGGATCACTTGCTGATGCTTTGTGCCATATGTGCTGATAGTTTGTGGTATGCTAAGAGCACGAGCTATATCTTGGAGATATTCTGGGTGGTTTATCCTTTATTCTTAGTAAATCTTTCCTATATATGCAGACTGAACAAATCTTGTCAAGAAGATCCTGTGATAGGGTCACCATAAATCAGAAGTACTTGAAGTCACACAACAACATGATTCAGACTTAGGGGTTCTGCAGATGGCGCAAAGCGCTATGGAAGAGAAGAAGCAGCCGGACGCCGGATGCCCTAACCCCTTCCCAAGGACGTCATCAGAGCGTGCATCATTGCACATGGTGAGTGCTCTGATGATATCCTCCCAGCGCAGCGTCCAGACACGCTGCGCGGGAAGAGATGGGAAGAAACGCGTGGTATCTCTTTGGGAACCTCTTTTGCCCACTCTGGAGGAGCGGCATTTTAGTGTTCCTTCCAGGGCCGGCAGAAGGGTGGATTGGGGCTGCTGCATGTGTTAGCAGCAGCCCCAATCCTCCGCTTCTTGGGGCGACCCATGGCCACTCGTCTGCAGAGAGGGATGCAGATGGGTGGCAGTGGGCCACCCCGAGAAGTGGAGAATTGGGGCTGCTGCTAACACATGCAGCGGCCCCAATCCACCCTTCTACTGGCCCTGGAAGGAT